CGGACCCGAAACGTTAACTCTGTTTTCTCCTTCACAGATGCTGCCAGACCTGCTGAGCTTTTCCAGGGGAAGTGAAAAGACGTCCACTGTCAATGTGAGTTTGGGAATGAAATGTGGTCAATATTTATTGCAAAACCAGTCAGTGACATGAGAACACTTCGGGGTGAAAAATAGTCAGATCCTGCACCATTTTTTTGTGAAGCAACATAATGTAAATAGTTTATCCCTGCTTTCCTGTGCTGATCTCACCACTGCATGTCATCACTGTCTTGGAAACTCTCGCTCCTCCCTGATTTGCTGTCAAAGATGTCAAGGCTACATATCGCACATTGAAGTTGTCAATTTGAAAGCCTCTGAGATTGAAAAGTGCTGTTCCCATACCAGAAATATCTGTCAAAAATTTACCAGGGGATCTGAGACAGTAGCTGCAACAAATAAGGTTTTATTCAGATGAGACAATGACTGCACCTGACTAGCGACTCAAAGTCACGTCCGTTTCACCAGTCAGTTTCCCAAGTTTGAGGAAACTCATTTTGCTCCAGAAATATGTGGGTTGGCTATGAGAGACGTCAATCAGAGACCCCGCCCACTCTGCCCAGTCTCTCCTTCCTCTTCCAGAGCTGTTTCATTTCCTATAGAGGCTGAAAAACCAAGGGAAGAGATGGTGAGTGAAGAGGCAATGTTTTCTCTAAATTATATCCCATTATCTCCACACCGATGTTCAGGCAGTCTGACTATCCTGTGGGGAATTAGGGGTGGAAACATCCTTTTGCTGTGTGAGAAAATTGAACTCAGGGAGCTGTTTACTCCGTGCTTTGTGCTGAATTGTTTGACTGGAGCTGTGTGTTGGATATTGAGTGTGTTTATTAGAAGCATTTTCCTCTGATTTCCAGGCTGAGTTTTGTTAATGACTCATTCCTGAATATGGGAAGGTGAGGTGTATTTATCTGAGAGGTCCAGAGCGTCTTAGGATTCTTACTGATTTCTTGTTGTTGTGTTCTGTGTTCTGTGTGTTGGGAGCTGGTTATTGTAGACTAAATTGTCGCTGAGGTAAAATACTGTAATTTCATTCTTAGCAGCATTTTGGATGTAGCATCCACATAGTAGCACCCCACCACCACCACCATCAAGCCCCACACCGCCCAGGGGTGTGTAATGGTTGAACAGCTACATTCTAAAGGGCAACAAATGTTCACCTGGTCAGCGACATCCTGGAAAGGTGTGAATGAGAAAGGGCTGAGAAATCAGGCTGTTCACAAGGGAAGAGAGGGTGCACATGAAACTGTATTGCCTTTTCTTGTTTTACAGAAGAATTGCACCATCCTACACCAGAGAATTCAGAGAGCATAGACACAGCAGACAGGTCCTGACCCTAACCCAAGAGACAATTGTACTGGGAAGACATCCAGCCCCTTCGCTGCATTGCTCAGCATAAAGAAGGTTGGTCGGTGAAACCATCATCTGGAAATTGGTCAGGTCAGGGGAGCTTTGGCACATCATCACATCTGAAACTGGTCAGTGGTGTGGAGTCTTCCATCAGAACTAAACTTTCTGAAGGATTGGCTGCAGGAGATTGGTCAGGGTGAGTCTGGGAAGAAGTGAGAGTGGCTCCAAGTGTGGTGAGAGCTTCAATCGTTCATCAAGCCTCGTGAACCACTGATTTATTCCTACAGGTGAGAGACTGTTCAAGTCTGAAGCTGGTCATCTCTCTTAAAGCACAAGGTGCATCTGTGTAAGTCTGTTAAAACAATAACAGTTCCTTAATAGAGAATCTTTCAACAGTGAGTGAAGTCACTTGCGCTCCAATATCACTGACACAGTCATACTGGGGAGAAATTATTCAAAGCTGAGGTGTGTAATACGGATTATTGAAGACCGTCGGGACTGATGAATGACCAACACATTCAGATGGGAATAAAAACATTCACATGCGACATGTGCAATGAATCATTCTCATCGTCATCAAAGCTCCTCATGTCCCAACATGTTCACTCAGAGGAGGCACCATTCATGTGCAGGCAGTGTAATAAGTCATTGTCACTGTCATCAAAATTCCACATACACCAATGTGTCCACACAGGGGAGAAACCATTCCAATGTGAGTTGTGTGACAAATCATTCTCACAGTCAGCACAGCTCCATGTACACCATCGTATTCACACAGGAGAGAAATTGTTCAAGTGTGAAGTGTGTGAGAAATCTTTCACCACTTCGTCGAGGCTCCTGCTCCATCAGCGGATTCACACTGGAGAGAAACCATTCAGGTGTGAGGTGTGCGACAAATCATTCTCACGGTCAGAACATCTCCATGTACACAGAAGTATTCACACAGGAGAGAAAGTTTTCAAGTGTGAGGTGTGCGACAAATCATTCCCAACTTCTTCAAGACTCCTGCTCCATCAGATGATTCACACAGGGGAGAAACCATTCAGATGTGAATTGTGTGACAAAGCATTCTACTCATCATCGAACCTCCACACACACCAACGTGTCCACACAGGAGAGAAACCCTTCCATTGTGAAGTGTGTGATAAATCATTCTCACAGGCAGGATACCTCCGCACACATCAACGTCTTCACACAGGAGAGAAATTGTTTAAGTGTGAGGTGTGTGACAAATCATTCCCCACTTCACTGAGACTCCTGCTTCATCAGAGGATTCACACAGGGGAGAAACCTTTCCGGTGTAAGGTGTGTGACAAATCATTCGCACAGTCAGGAAACCTCCGCTTACACCAACGTATTCACACAGGGGAGAAATTGTTTCAGTGCAGGCTGTGTGACCAATCATTCTCACAAGCAGGATCCCTCCGTACACACCAACGCACCCACACAGCAGAGAAAATGTTTAAGTGTGAGATTTGTGACAAGTCATTCTCACAGTCAGGACAGCTGCACATGCACCAACGTATTCACACGGGAGAGAGTTTGTTCAAGTGTGAGGTGTGTGATAAATCATTCCCCACTTCATCAAGACTCCTGCTCCATCAGAGGATTCACACGGGGGAGAAACCATTCCGATGTGAAGTGTGCGACAAATCATTCTCATCATCATCAAACCTCCATACTCACCAACGTGTCCACACAGGGGAGAAACCCTTCCACTGTGAGGTGTGTGACAAATCATTCACACAGTCAGGATACCTCCGCAAACACCAACTTATCCACACGGGAGATAAATTGTTTAAATGTATGGTATGTGACAAATCGTTCTCGCAAGCAGGAGACCTCCGCACTCACCAACGCATCCACACAAAAGATAAACTGTCTAATTCTGAGATGTGTGACAAATCATTCTCACAGTCAGGACAGCTCCACATGCACCGTCACATTCACACATGAGAGTGCCGTGTATGTGACAAATCATTCTAGGTAGGATCCCTCCAAACGCACCAACGTGTCCACACCAGGAAGAAACCCTTCCAGTGTGAGGTGTGTCACAAATCATACAGTCAGGAAGCCTCCGCGCACACCAATGTACCCACACTAGAAAGAAAGTGAGAAGTTTGTGACATCATTCTGGAGCTCATTCCAGTCCTTCCGCCATCGTAGCATCCAAACAGGAAAAACCATTCAAGTGTGAAAAATCATTCCCAAACTCATCAAGACGACTGCTGCATCAGAGGATTCTTTCAGAGGAGAATGCGTTCAGGTGTTAGGTGTGTGACAAGCCAATTCTGTGGTCAGGACAGCTCCACATTCAGTCTCACATTCACACAGGTGGGAAATTGTTCAAGTGTGAGGTGTGTTACAAATCATTCCCCACTTGTTTGAGACAATCCAGGATTCACACTGGAGAGAAGCTAGTCATTTACAAGTTTTGTGACAAATCAGGCTCGGAGTCATCGTGTCTACGCAACCTCAATGTATTCACGTGAGATAAACCAATTAGTTGTAATGCATGTATCAAATCAGTGTCAAGTTCATCGACTCTCCACAATCACCGGCACATTCACGCAGGCAGAAACCGTTCACGTGTGAAGTGTGTAAGTAATCATCCTCAAGACCCTGGAAGCTCCTGCTCCATCAAAGACCATAAGACATAGGAGCAGAAATTAGGCCATTCAGCCCATCGAGTCCGCTCCACCATTCAGTCATGGGTGATAAGTTTCTCAACCCCATTCTCCCACTTGCTCCCTGTAACCCTTGATCCCCTTGACAATCAAGAACCTATTTATCTCCATCTTAAATATACTCAATGACCTGGCCTCTATCCTTCTGTGGCAGTGGATTCCAGAGATTCACCACTCTCTGGCGAAAGAAGTTTCTCCCTATCTCTGTTCTAAAAGGTCTTCCCTTTACTCTGAGATTGTGCCCTCAGGTCCTAGTCTCTCCAACCAATGAAAACAGCTTCCCAACATCCACTCTGTCCAAATAAAAACCAAAAGAACTGCGGATGCTGTAAATCAGGAACAAAAACAAATTTGCTGGAAAAGCTCAGCAGGTCTGCCAGCATCTGTGAAGGAAAAAACAGTTAACGTTTCGGGTCCGGTGACCCTTGCTCAGAACTGATGGTGGCTGATGGTTTATATGCAGTAAATAGATAGGTGGGTGGGGGAGGGAGTAAACGATAGGATAGAGCCCAAAGAGAGAGAAAGACAGCTGGACAGACAAAGGTGTTGCTAACAATCAGGCTGAGAGGGTGAAGAGTTGTTAATGTGGACTGTTAATGACTAACAACAAGGGGTGTGTAATGGGAGGCTGTGTGGTAACAAGGCCTGGTGTGTGGGATAGGGGGCTGGGACATGGGAGAGTTTAGGCCCTAAAATTATTGAACTCAATATTGAGTCCGGAGGGCTTTAGGGTCCCCAAGCAGAAAATGAGGTGTTGTTCCTCCAGCTTATGTTGGGCTTCGCTGGAACACTGCAGCAAGCCAGAGACAGAGATGTTAGCCAGGGAACAGGGTGGTGCGTTAAAGTGGCAGGCAACAGGTAGTTCAGGGTCTTTTTTGTGAGCTGAACGTAGATGATCTGTGAAGCGGTTGCCAAGTCTACGCTTTGTTTCCCCAATGTAGAGGAGACCACCTTGTGAGCAGCAAATGCAGCAGACTAAATTCTGGGAAGTGCAGGTGAAGTATTGCTTCACCTGGAAGGTATGTTTGGGCCCTTGGATACTGGGAAGGGAGGAGGTAAATGGGCAGGTGTTGCACCTTCGCTGGTTACATGGGAAGGTGCCGTAGGGCTGTGGGGAGGTGTTGGGGGTGAAGGAAGTGTGGACCAGGGTGTCCCGGAGCGAACGGTCCCTGCGGAAGGTGGACAAGGGAAGGGAGGGAAGAATATGTCTGGTGGTGGAATCTTGCTGGAGGTGGCGGAAAAGGCGTCTGATGATCTTCTGGATGTGGATGCTGGTGGGATGGTAGGTGAGGATAAGGGGAGCCCTATCACAGTTGTAGGAGGGAAGAGAAGGAGTGAGGGCAGAAGTGTAGGAGATGGGTTGGACCTGGTTGAGGACCCTGTCGACAACGGAGCTAGGGAATCCTCGGTTGAGGAAGAAAGTGGACATTTCGGAGGCTCTCTTTTCGAAGTTGGTGTCATTTGAACATATGCGACGGAGACGGAGGAATTGAGAGAATGGAATCCCACCAGCATCCACATTCAGAAGATCATCAGACGCCATTTCCGCCACCTCCAGCAAGATTCCACCACCAGACATAGATTCCCCTTCCCTCCCTTGTCCGCCTTCCGCAGGGACCGTTCCCTCCGGGACACCCTGGTCCACATTTCCTTCACCCCAACACCCTACGGCACCTTCTCCTGTAACCGGTGAAGGTGCAACACCTGCCCATTTACCTCTTCCCTCCCCAGTATCCAAGGGCCCAAACATACCTTCCAGGTGAAGCAACACTTCACCTGCATTTCCCAGAATCTAGTCTACTGCATTTGCTGCTCACAATGTGGTCTCCTCTACAGTGGGGAAACGAAGCATAGACTTGGCGACCGCTTCGCAGAACATCTACATTCAGCTCGCAAAAAAGACCCTGAACTACCTGTTGCCTGCCACTTTAATGCACCACCCTGCTCCCTGGCCAACATCTCTGTCTCTGGCTTCCTGCAGTGTTCCAGCAAAGCCCAATGCAAGCTGGAGGAACAACACCTCATTTTCCGCTTGGGGACCCTAAAGCCCTCCGGACTCAATATTGAGTTCAATAATTTTAGGGCCTAAACTCCCAAGTCCCAGCCCCCTATCCCACACACTAGGCCTTGTTACCACACAGCCTCCCATTACACACCCCCGTTGTTAGTCATTAACAGTCCACATTAACAACTCAGCACCCTCCCAGCCTGATCGTTATCAACTCCTTTGTCTGTCCAACTGTCTTTCTCTCTCTTTGGGCTCTATCCTATTGTTTACTTCCTACCCCACCTACCTCTCTATTTTCTGCATATTCCCAGCCACCCTCAGTTCTGAGGAAGGGTCACTGGACCTGAAATGTTAATTCTGTTTTTTCCTTCACAGATACTACCAGACCTGCTGAGCTTTTCCAGCAAATTTGTTTTTGATCCACTCTGTCCAGGTCATTCAGTATTCTGTAAGTTTCAAATAGATCCCCCTTCATCCTTCTCAACTCTGTTAAGTATAGACCCAGAGACCTCAAACGTTCCTCATATGTTAAACTTTTCATTGCTGGGACTATTCTTGTGAACCTTCTCTGAACCCGCTCCAGGGCCAGTACATCTTTCCTGAGATATGGGGCCCAAAACTGCACACAATACTCCAAATGTGGCCAGACCAGAGCCTTATAGAGCCTCAGAAGCATATCCCTGCTTTTCTGTTCAAGTCCTCTCAAAATAAATGCCAAAGTTGCATTTGCCTTTCTATTACTGACTCAACCTGCAAGTTTACCTTGAGAGATTCCTGGACTAGAACTCCCAAGTCTCTTTGCACTTCACACTTTTGAATTTTCTCCCCATTTAGAAAATAGTCCATACCTCTACTCTTCTTACCAAAGTGCATGACCTCAAACTTTCCCACGCTGTACTCCATCTGCCACTTCTTTGCTCACTCTCCTAACCTGTCCAAATCCTTCTGCAGCTTCTCCAAATTCTCAATGCTACCTGGCTCTCTACCTATCAAAGTATCCACAGGGGAGTGACCCTTCAAATATGAGGTTTATGATCAACCTTTCATGATGTCTTCAATAATCTGGGAATCGACAGGATTCACACATGGGAGAATTTTTTCAGGTGCAATGTTTTTGTACAGTCAGTGTATCTCCTAGTCTGCTCTCACAGGAGAAATCCTTTCTGTGTGATTTCTGTACTAGCACCTTCACACTGTTATTGAAGCTCCTGGAACATCAGTGAACCCACACAGCAGATAAACCCTTCCAGTGTGATGTCTGCCAGGACTGTTTCACCTCCTCCTCCTCCTCTGTCACCAAACATTGATGTCTCCACACGGACTTGGAGCTGGGTCACCTGCAGACCTGTCTGTGTTGTTTCCTCTCTAGGTCTCACACAGGGGAGCTGTCGTTCCAAAGCATTGTCTATCTCGAACTTCTTCCACCATCAGGCCAAACATTTCAAGAAGGTTAACTTAACCTTTGAGCAGATCACCAAAAATCACCAAAAGAAGACTGCAGCAGAGGAACACTTGAAGTGTAAGCTCACTGCCCAAAATGTCCAGTGGTACTGGAGCATGGAACAAGAAGCAGCCTTCATTCACAAGGAACATAGGAACAGGCCCTTCGTGCCTGTTCTGCCTTTCAGTCAGATCATGGCTGATCCGTAGCCTCATTCTGTAAATCTGCCTTTGGCCCATATCCCTTAATACTTTTGCTTTGTAAAAATGTATCTGCCTCAAATTTAAAATTAACAACTGATCTACCATCAACTGCCATTTATGGAAGACATTTCCAAACATCTGCTACTCTTCATGTGTAGAAGTGCTTCCTAACATTCTCTCCTGAACTTTACGGGCCTAATTCTCAGAATTTGCCTCCTAGTTCTCAAATCTCCAAGTGGAAGTAGTTTGTCTTTATCCACTCAGCCTTTTCCTGTTGAATACATCAATCAGATCACCACTTAACCTTCTAAATTCTAAAGAAATCAAACCTAATTCATATAATCTCGCGATTTAAATCACGAAGTCCAGGTATCATTCTGATAAACGTGCGTCGTACACTTTCCAAGGCCAATATATCCTTGTTAAAGTGTGATGTCCATATCTGCTTATAGTACTCCGTGTACAGTCTGACCCAGGGTTAGACAAACAACTAGTGATGACAATCCAAGATTAAAGGACTTTTGATATCAATTGCTGTGGACGTTTTGCAAGTTTTGAAACAAATCTGTCCCTACACTGCTCACTTGGCAAAAAGCAGTTTGGGTTTCTTACCCCATTTTTTGAACAGTAGAGGGTTATTTTGTCCAGTTCCTCTTTTTGTGGGATCTGATTTTTTTTTAAGGACTACAACAGTGGGGATTATTTCACAGCCTCTTAGATATTCAGGATATCTTCACAATGCATGCACACTTATAAACATCCTTGAAGATGTAGAATTGGAAGGTGTCATGACCCCCAATGGGGAAGTAATTTGCTGACAATCAAGCTCCACTATTCCACAAGTTATCACAAGTGTAATATATGATCAGCTGAATCTCTAGGATGGTCAATGATTGAATGTGGCCATGATTTAAAGGAAGCAAAAATGTAGTGATTGTAACAAACGTATGCACCAACATGTGGCAAAACAGATTATTAATTACTGATATACAAGCTTTAACTAAACCCCAATCAAAATATACACACACTCATTCACACAGAAGATGGACAAGACAGATGAGACAAACAATCACTTTACGAATATCGTGTGTGGAAAATAGATAGATAAAAAGGCACAAAGTCTATGGATAGAGTCCAAACCAAAAGGAGAAATGAGGTGACTTTCTCACAGTTTGTTGCCTTTGTCGCTGACATCATGTTGTTGCCAACTCTGGAGATCCTCAATTCAGTGGCCGCTTAGTTAGATCTAGGGCTTGGTTTTCAATTCTTTCTTTTCTCAGTATTGTTTATTTTTGCAATTCTTTGAATGTTATTTATTTTCTAATTAAAAAGAGGGAAATATTGATTTACTGGCAGGCATGAAGGTCTGAGTCCCAACAAATCTCTCTC